TGCCAAATTTACCCACTTGTGCAGTGTAGCTGCACACATGCTCCCTTTAAAAAGAGTGAATTTGACTGGAATTTTCTCCATTTGAGCCTGCCTGGTAAAAAGTAAATGCAGGTCAGTTTCACCAAACACCGTTGTCAGTTTCACCAACATTTTTAAAAAGTGTATTCACTGAGAATTCACATTAAGCTGCCATAATGATCATCAGAGCAAAGTCAGCAGTAGGAATTCCTTGGGAAACTGTTTCTATGAATCAATGATCCTTGACTGGCGATGAAGGGAATGGACCTTCAGGGTGGCTCAACTCACTCACATTTAATAAGCATGGCACTGAATTCGAAAACAAACTATTAAAATGTCTCAGCATTTGAACGATCAGTTTTAGTAGTAAGAACTGTGGGAAGGGCAGAATTAGCTAATAGTGTCATAACCTCAATAATCTCTACACCCAAAGATTATGTTTGAAGTTTTAATTATGAGAAAACCGCAGAAATGCTCCTGAAGAAACACATCTTTTGTCTGTTCTTCTGTGTGTACTGAAATCATACAGATAAAACAAAATATACTTTTAAAACTGCATTTTATAACTTCTACATGAATGGGAACAGGATTTTCAGTTATGCGATTCAGAGTAAAGACTGCAAGCAGCAATAACTGTGGGTAGAAGTCACTAGGGGCTAAATCAGAGGTGATGATTGAAGTTGTGTGCTTAGAGCTTCCAGAAGATTTTTCTTTATATAGCAGGCATGAGGAACCCCCTGGGAATACAGCAAAAGAGATCTGCCCACTGGGGCAAGCAGTAGCTCTGCAGGACCACTTCATGTGGGAAAATTGGGCTCAGGGGAAGGTTTTAAACCACCTTTCTTACCTATCATAGTGCTGATCTGAATTGGTCCAACAAATACTTGCTTTGTAAAAGAAAAGAAACTGCTGTGAGGTCAATTAAACACTCTCAGCTGCCCTCTTTTGGTGACAGGCACCAGAAAGCCACAGGTAATTGTTCTCCTTGCATTCCTGTGCTCACAAGCAGTGATAACAGACTGCAGAGGAAGGGAAGGGGGGAATGGTATACTTTCCTCCAGCAGGTCTCTGCCATCTTTTTCAGTTAGGTGCATGTACTGCAATCAGTAACACAGAGAGAAACCGGATCAGCCAGCAGGCACAGTTCTATTAAGCAAAAATAAATACACAACCAACCAACCAACTAACCAACTAACCAATCTCAATTAGGAACCCAGAAGTACACAGAGGGTGTGTTTTTTCTACAAGGGAGGAAAAAGAACTCAGACATCAATGTCACACAGGTAGCAGACAGGTTGGTGTGCAAGCTGCACCTTTCAATGATCCCATTCCCTGCATGCCCAGTAGGGAGAGGACCCTACATGCCTGTTAAGTGTGGTCACCTCCTGATAGCATTGTAGCCAGACTGCCTGCTTTCTTAGACTGCCTTACTGCCTGTACACATCCTGAATGTTGGTAATTGCCTATAAAAGGAGGATGCTTCCTAATGTTTGAAGTCTGGTATGGAGGATCCTTTGGGTGAAGAAATATTCTTAAGTATTTTATCTCATTTGGATAGAGAAAAGGTTACAGCTGAAAATGTATTTCCCATGGAAACCAACGTAAATGAAATCTTTGTTTCTAATATATGTAGATAGCAGTCCTAAACAGAGTTACACCATTATAAGTCCATTGACTTTAGTGCTTAGACTTACACTGTTAATAATATCAATCAATTTTTTTTTAAAAAGAAAACAAACCAAAAATAAAAACTATACATACATAGCCAATAATAAAACTGCACAGTTCATGGTAAACTGTCCTTAACGATTTCAATCGTCTTATTAATTATCACTTAAACCCTTCTTTTTTTGTCATGTCAGAGCACTTGCAAAACAAGAAAACTTCAAAATATAAGAATGCTTAAAGAAAAATGGAACATATAGTAAGAATGTAAGAAGAGCCCTGCTATCAGAAGGAGAGAAGAAGAGATTGGATTTATACCCCGCCCTTTACTACCTAAAGGAGTCTCAGAGTGGTTTACAATCCCTTTCCCTTCCCCTTCCCACAACAGACAGGCACCCTGTGAGGTAGGTGGGGCGGAGAGAGCTCTCTTGAGAACTGCCCTTGAGAGAACAGCTCTGAAAGAACTTATGACTGACCCAAGGTCACACCAGCAGCTGCATGTGGAGGAGTGGGGAATCAAACCCAGTTCTCTGAGATTAGAGTCTGCACTCTTAACCACTACACCAAACTGGCTGTCAGTGGGCTAGCTAGTCTAGCATCCCATCTCACACAGTGACCAACCAAGCATAGAAGAAAATAAAATCCATACTGAATTATTGTAAATAATACATTGTTCCAGATTACCTTCCTCAGGACACAGTCTAAAACTAAACATTTACCCAAAAAAATCCCATAGTTTTCCTACATGTTCTTTTGAGATTTAAAAGTTATTATCTTCCCTAAGTAGACAGATGTGATGTGTTGTGAACACAGCAACTCAGCAAACATAGAATAAACATTGCATTTGAGACCTTAAAACAGCAACAAATGGAAATAAGCCCTGTCTATCCATCCATCCACATACACACCCTGTCCAATAAATTAGAATACCCTCTTAAGACTACAGTTGTTTGATTTAATGCAACAAGTCCCTTTCTTATAAGATACTCTTTCTTCATCGAAATATCTGCTGTAATTGAAAAAGTGACTAGCTGAAAACCCATTAGTCACTTATCTGGCTTTGTCCTCAGTGTGTGGATGGGGCTGGGAAATGGATTAGAATGCTATTGCCTTTCCTGTTTCTTGTCTCTTCAATTCAATAATATGTTAGCTTTAAAACAACAACAACAACAACAATGTAAATCGCTCTTCTGCCTTCAGGCACCTGAGGTACTATGTCGCTCCATAAAGAAAAATGATACTGTTCACAATGCAATAATTAGAAGAAGAGAGAAGATTTTATTGTATTTAGCCATAGGCCATTACAAACCACAGACAGAGAAGAGCACAATAAAACACAAAAATTGTATAAAATAAGATACAGTCCAACATTATAAATCCATAAAACCGAGGTTATGAACAGTTAAAACCGAGGTTATGAACAGTTAAAACCGAGGTTATGAACAGTTAATTAATTCAGAACATACCCACTAAAATCAGTATTAGCTAGGAGCAGCGTTGGCCCGTATTTTCCTTGCAGCCAAGGCAAATAAAGCCATTCTATGGGATACATCAGCATTGGCATCGGCTAGCAAAAATATAATCTTCTCTGAGACTGAATAAAAGCTTAAAACTGATAAAATACCAGATAAAAATTTTGACCTAGGCTTCTCGGCCTTTTGGCTAAGATCAAGTGTAGTACACAATGCAATAATAAAATCTTAACAACCCAATAATCAATTAAAAACAGCAACAACCCAGCACTGTAAACACAAAATAGCAGCAGTACGAGAAACCACTGAAAGAACTCACACAAGCTTAACAACTCACACTAAGCTTAACAACAAGAAACAGCATTATGACCATGAGAAGTCTGTTGAGGCATAAGGAAGAGCTGATACCTGATCAGTTCAGCTATCATGTGAGACATGATCTTTTGTTCTTTTTTAAACTATCATCATTACATTAAAATGCATAGCTGTCTGGCAAACTGACAAATGGGTAGGACTCAAATCCAACTTGATCTGCATGTTAAAAAGGTGTTACCATAAAACTTATTATGTAGGAATGTGGATAAACATTCAAATGGATATTGCAAGATACATCTTATTCAAGGCAATGCAATAAAGACGGCTTCATTTTTGGTTGGATGTACATTTAAACTATGGTTGCCAACCTCCAGGTGGAGCCTAGCGATCTCTCAGAATTACAACTGATCCCTGGATTACAGAGATCAGTTCCCCTGGACAAAGTGGGAGCTTTGGAGGGTGAACTCTATGGCACTATAACATATGGAAGTCCTTTACCTCCCCAAACCTCTCTCCCCTTAAGCTCTCCCCTTAAATCTCCAGATATTTACCATCCTGGAAATTTAGGCCTATGGTTACCAATGTACGTAATCTAAATCTGTTTACATTTTTTTTGGTGTTCAGTCGCACAGTCGAGTCCGACTCTTTGCGACCCCATGGACCAGATCACGCCAGGCCTTCCTGTCTTCCGCCGTCCTCTGAAGTTTGCTCAATTTCATCGATGACACTGTCTAACCATCTCATCCTTTGCCGTCCCCATCTTCTTTGACCTTCAATCTTTCCCAGCATCAGGGTCTTCTCCAGTGAGTGTTCCCTTCTCATTTGGTGGCCAAAGCATTTGAGCTTCAGTTTCATTATTTGGCCTTCCAGGGAACAGTCAGAGTTGATTTCTTGACCCTTATACAGGTTTCTCAAGAGACATGTGAGGTGGTTTGGTACTCCCATCTCTTTAAGGACCTGCCGTAGTTTGTTGTGATCCACACAGTCAAAGGTTTTAGCTTAGCCAATGAAGCAGAGGTAGATGTTTTTCTGGTACTCTCTTGCTTTCTCCATAATCCAGCAAATGTTGGCAATTTGTTCTCTAGTTCCTCTACCACTTCGAAACCCAGCTTGTACTTCTGGCAGTTCTCTATCCACGAACTGTTGAAGTATAGCTTATAGGATCTTGAGCATGACCTTGCTAGCGTGTGATATGAGTGCAATTGTGCGATAGTTTGAACATTCCTTGGCATTGCCCTTCTTTGGGATTGGAATGTATACTGACCTTTTCCAATCTTGTGGCCACTGTTGCGTTTTCCAAATTTGCTGGCAAATTGAGTGCAGCACTTTAACAGCATCATCTTTTAAGACTTTGAATATCTCAGCTGAGATACCATCACCTCCACTAGCTTTGTTATTAGTAATGCTTTCTAAGGCCCATTTGACTTCACATTCCAGGATGTCTGGCTCGAGGTCAGTGACCGTCGTGGTTGTCAAGGACATCGATGTCTTTCTTGTATTCTTTCTTCTGTGTATTCTTGCCATCTTTTCCTGATCTGTTCTGCTTCTGTTAGGTCCCTACCGTTTTTG